GTCGATTTCTAGAAAAGACGACATTATTAACGATATTGTTTATTGTTGTTAATGCCTTAAGTGTTATTAAAGTTACGTATATATTGTCTGTTAATGTTAATACATTTACAATAAAATTCAAAATAACCGACCGAATTCCATACATAAATCGTTATCGACGATTGAATTTAATCGTTCGAATTAATGTCGATTACGTTTGACCTTTGTACGCCACGTTTAAAAAAATTTATAAGTACGGTAAAATTATATTATTTTACCGTACTTATAAATTTTTTTGTACCATACTTGGCGAAATTTCTGTTATTATAAATGCGTATTATTTTAAATGTGATTGTTATTTCGATGTTTTTTCGTCGGAAATCTTTAAATCTAAACTAACCTATTCGTAAAAGATTGCTGGCAATCGATTTATTACACTTACGTATCTCATTTTATGGTAAAATTACTCCTTAATAAAAAAGCATTTCTTTTTCGTTAATGTTAGATTTATTACTATAGAAATGCGCCTTATGCCCATAAAATCACATCCCCTAGCATGAATAAATGTAAGCGGTGTTCTCGTACCAAGGATAAATATCTGGTACGCAAGAAATTCTTATTAATTTACGAGTTCTCCGGAACATAATTTTGTTTCTTGTAACCCATAATATTATTTTTTAAAACTCCGGAAATTATTTTATGATTTGGAACAATTTCGAGAGAGAAAAACCAATGAATTATCCTATACTAATAAAAAAAATAATAGGACCAATATCGCTTGGCTGCTTTTCCCTTCTTTATTTTATTTCTATTTCTATTGGCTAATTTTACTTCTATATTTTCATTTCGACGTTTCACTTTATAGTAATAAATAAGAAAAATTCCGAAATAAATAAAAAAAATCTTAAATGTAATCCGGCTAATTCAATTAAATACATGTATAATTTTTTCTTTATTAAAATCAATTAGCCTATATTTATTTTACGAAGTTTTAAACTTTTCCGAACGAATCTCTTTATAACAGCGTAAAATCTTCAAAGGACAATTATTCGTAAACAGAAAGTTCAATTTCGGAACGGGTAAATCGAATTACGTGACAATAATTACACCTTTGAATGCGGCCGATCTGTTAAAAAGAGCAAAATGGTTTTACGCCACGTCGAACATTTTTCTTTCGCATTTTTCCCAAAAAAAATAGGATTTTTTCGGCCGATGGAGAGTGAAAGAAGGTCGTAGTGACCGTACGGCTGTCACCCCGGGCGTTCGATTCTGGCAGTTCATTGTCTCCTATGTATGTAGGTCGCTTTCGGATCAACCGTGACCTTCATAAAGGGTACGACGTTTACTTCAATTTCCTCCTATGGCTTTATTAACGGACTCGAAGGCAAAACTGACCGCTTTATCTTTAAAGGAAAATCGCCCGATTCGCGGGCGCCACGTTGTTAAACCCGTTTACCGTAATTGGCAAAATATTGCCCGGATGTTACTTTTACCATTAATTCTTATACGGACCATGAAATAGACGGAAACCGTGCCGCTTGTACAAATTTAAAACGAATTAATGTCAAGTAGTTTTTGTTTTATTTTAAAATTTAAAATTCTTGCATCGGTTTATCTTAATTTGCTTATCTACCTTGTTTTTTTTTTTTTTGGAGGGGAATTTAAATTCGGTGCGAACGGGAAATGACGCGGTAATACGTTTCAAGGACAAATATGGAAATTTCGAAATTTGTTGTTCCTTTTCCTGGTAACTAGTCCTACTTATTGTGATGTTTTAAAAAGTGGACTACGCGTTTTTAGAAAATGACTATCTTTATTTTAAAAAACAATAATATAGATTTTATTTTAAAATAACGAGTTTCGATAATCATAGACTACAGTAAATTAAACCGTACAAATAGAAAAGGACCGGATAACCAAATAAAACTTAGATTTAACAGGTTTGGGCTCCAAATTATTTAATTCTGTTTATTTTAATCGTAGAAAACTTTCGATAGAAAGAAAATAATCGATTTTCATTATGTTTTCCTGCGTAAAAAATTAAAGAAATCGGATATTTCCATTCAATTAAACGATAAAGAATTTTTTTCTTGTCTTTTTTACTTCGAGGTGGAGTTTTCCTTCTGTTTTGTCCCAGAAACAATTAGAAATAGGTTAATATTGTCATAATTGGTATATCGACACTAATTGGAGAAAAGTAATCGAAAAATATTTTTTCATAAATTTAAAATTATTTTATATAAAAACTTGTTTTGAAAAACGACAGGAAAAAACAAAGTCAAACCATCGATAATATTACCATTTTATTCGAAAAAATCGAATAAAATGGTAAACTAAACTAAATTATTACGTTAAAATGTATGCTTATTCGGGTTAATAAAATTAAAAAAAAAATTATTATTCAGAAGAGATAGTTCTATTTAAAATATATTCTTAAATATAAGATTTGATCAATTATTCCTTTAAAATAAATAAATAAATAATCGAATTTAAGTAATTAAATTATTTTATATTTACAATAAATAATTTATAAATAATTATAAATATTAATAATCAAATTATTTCGTCGTTACTTAAATTATATTAATTTATGTAATATATAAAGAGATACAGTATATAGGTCTTTTGGGGTTATTAATTTATACAATTCTACTTGTGTTTGTAATATAATCCACGTGGAATTAGAACGTGGAATGACGTTAGCAATAATAATAACTTAAAATTTCTTTGTTTCGATAAAAATAAACTAAAAAATTACTGTATTAAATTTACTAAAATGTAAATAATTGTAGATTTATAAAATTATTACGCATTGGTTATTTCGGCTATATTAATAATAACGTGTAAGCGAATATGTCGAAGTATAGATTATATTGTAAACTTTGTAAATAAAATATTCTTTTTACAGCTTTATTTACGGAAAAATTACAAGGAATACAAACTTATTTTTCAGAAATGTTTCTTTTACGAGTGATTTATATAAACGTGGCCATTAAAAATTCTTGTAGTGGACACGTTTCTTTTTTCTCTTAATAATGAATGACCTACAAACGAGTTGATTTTTATTTTTCAAATTATAAATACTTAACGTATTTCTATAACTTATAATTTGGATTTTTTTAAACGATAAAACCTCGTGTATCGTAAATTAATTACTAATTAAAGTAACTAACAAAACTAGTTAGAAATGTTTATAAATTTTACTAAATGACGTACGAAATATTTTTCGTGTTACTTTTTTATACTTTTTAAGAAGAAAAAGTTAAGATTTTTCAACGAATAACTCTTTAAAATTCCTTTACTTCAATTCAAAAAATTTTGAAACTAGTCAGTGTCCTTGTTACGTCAACAAATGTGGCGACCCACGCATTAAAACTTGTCTTGGAGTGGTTTAAAGGCATCTTTCTGACTAACCAAACTTTCTTCGTCTGAGTGTTTGTTTTATAGTCTAAAATCAAATTACGGTACTTTATTTATTCTTAAATATACTTTCGTGCTCTTCTTCGTTTAAAATAACAATTATTTAACTAATCGTTGACTCATAAACCACTTGTTAAAGACACAAGTAGGATTTTGATTTGAATAAAGAAGTTTTAAAGAATATTTAGCCTAAAAAAACTATTACAGAGAATCGATAATGATACAGAAAGTAATGTACAGTACCTGGATCGATAAAAAAAATGTTTGTAAATATAATTATACTAATTAATGTGAAATTATTATTTAAAATTTTTGTTTTAGTTTTATTGTTATTCCGAATTAAAATAATTTTATGATAATTAAACGAATACTTGTTTCTTTGTATGCTAACATTGACATTTGCCGGCACATTTTCCGAATTATCTTTATTACGATTACGATTTCGATTGTAATTTAACTACTACAAAGACTATCTTACAAATTTGATCGGATTGAAATTTAAATTCTTTTAATAATATTGATCGGATGCTTTTAAATGGAATGAAGGACAAAATAAAAGTAGCTGATGTTACAGGTTTAACAGGATATACTTGAAAAAACCAGGTAGAAACTATCTTCTGTACGCTCAAAGTTTAGTAAATCGCTGATATTTTGGATAAAATTGACTCCACGAATAAAAAGAATGGTCGTCACACTCTTTCGAAAGAGCTTAAGATTGTTAATGACAAGATACTAATTGTTTTGTTTCGTTAAATTCAGCGGTTATCGTCAATGATGCAATATTGCTAACTCTTGGGAAGTTATTCTTCTTCGCATTCTTCCCGTACAATTTTTGCAGTTGTAAACAGAAAAGAGATTTAGATCTAGCGCGTTTCTTTTATATACTCTCAATAACAGGTCATAACCTAAACGTTCCAGTTGCTCGGAGGTACAACTAGTTCCACTACGTTCTCGCTCCAATGATTTTTCACCTATCAACAATGTCAATCTCTAAAAAACCAATAAGCAATTTCGTTTCGTGCTTTTTTTTCTATAATTTCATAAACGTAACAAAACTCTAATTCTTCTAGAAAATGTAATGTTCTAAATTATTAATTATATAATTATTCGCCGATGTAATAAATTAAGATTATCATTCTAGAAATCAACCGGGACACGCAATATCCAGGACAAATTTAATAAGGCTCAAACAGTGACAGTTCACTTCAGAAGTAAAAGCGCTCCAACGATATATAATTTTCCTTATAAACATTTTATCCGAGTAAAACACCGCATTAATCGACAATAAGTAAAGTTTGACTCTTACAGAATACTTTTAAAGTGCCGCGGTTGAATACGACGAAAAAGTTTTTTAATTATTATTATTATAAAAAAAATATTCCTAAAATGGGCATTGGGAACTTCCACCGAGAGGCAGATTTAGTTAATTAATTCTATTTTCTAATCCAAGTATTTAAGAAAAGTGTACATTTGAAGAAGAAAGATCAAAATAGACTCCAGCGAAAAAGCGTATTTCCAGTACAGTAAAGCATTTTATATACAGTATATTGTGGAATGTGCGAGATATTGTAATTATAAGAAGTAAGAAAATATTTACTCACCCGTCCTGCAAATAGATAAGAGGAATAAAAGAAAACTTATTTTCCGACAGCTTGTCTTCATATCTGTGAAGATCGCGCTCTTTGTAAGGACTCACAGAATATCACAAGCACTCCACAGGAGCCATACAAATCCGGGTAAATACCTGAAGCACTTCATACACAATTCTTTAAAAGTGACTATTTAGAAACTTAGGATTAGAAAAATCTGACTGAGTTTGTCGACGGAGATAAAGTATTGTACGGACTAATGCAGCGCTTTGAATACGGACAGGTGAAATAACTTGTTCGATTGGCCACAGGCAGCTGGGAGGTACAGAAAGCCTGTTTTCTTCGTCCCACTGAGAGTAATGGGGAGATGGGGCGGATCGAGGACACAAAACCGGCACCAGACCGTATTCCTAGTTCCACAAACTTCCACCAGAGGAATTCGCGTACGGTCTTTCTTTTCATTTGCTTTTGTTTCACGAGTTTCGTAATTAATTACTGTATTTACCCGGAAATTCTGTTCTGTTTCTCCGAAAAATTTTTATACAATTGCTTATTTGCTTTTTTTAAATAATTAAATAAAATTAATCGAGAATTTCAGTTGGATTTTATTATTTAATTTTTTAAATTTAACTAAAGTCGTAATTAAGTGTAATTATTAAGTGATTAGGTATATTTATACTTATTTAATATAGAAATATCATAGAATTTTTTTGTCTTACAGTAACATATGTATAGAACATATGAAATAGAACTATAATTTAAAGTTCAAATCTATTTTTAAAATATATTAAACTATGTAAAAGCTATATAAAAATATGTTATAAAAATTAAATTAATTTTTAAAATAAAAATTATCCGAACTTATTTTAAAATTATATTTATTAAGAATCAAATTATATTTTTTACGGGTCAATAATTATTATAATAATAAAAATTACGAAGAGACATTTTATTTGTCTCCCTGATAATAAAAAAAAATAATATTGAATGTTAATAAAAATAAGAAAATTGCCAACAAAATGAATAAAAAAAGAAATTTTGGCAATTTACTGTATTTATTCTAATTCAAAATGTTTGTTATTAAAATAATAATAATATTTAATTAACATCAATTTTATTTTATTTTAAACGAATTTTTCCAATTTATTAAAATATTTGATAACAAACAAAATAAAATATGTATTTTGAAAGTACAGTAAAAATAGATTGTTACACGTAAGCTAGAAAGTATCAACAAAAATATTCTTAAATCATTCCAAAGTTAAATATAAATTTAATAAGCATATAATTGAACTAGTTGTAACAGTCTGTTGATTTTTTATAAGTTCTTATTATATATTCTTCTCCAAATCCGAAAAATCAAGTAAGAATTTTCAATTTATACATTTGTATAATAAAACAAATCAAGTACAAAATAAAGTTGTTTTATATTATAGTTAAAAACAATAAAAATATAACAGCTAAAGTGCAAATATCACACAAAATTTTTTATTAATAAAACTCATAAATTATAAATTTTTATTGTAGTTGACTTTAAATGAATTTTATTCTGGCCGTGAAATAAAGAAAATCGCCGAATTTTTATTATTTTTTATAATAACATTTTAAATCTTTTAATAAACTCAGTTATTTTAATTATTTTTATAAAAAATATTAATTATAGATAAATCTCCAAAATATAGTTATTAACCTTTATAAAGGTTAATAACTACTTAAGAAGTTATTACTATTATTATATTATAACTATCTTAATTAAGAAGCATTAGAACTGAATTAAAATTCGTATTTTATTCTTTTTTTTTACGTATTAAAATTAATTTTTTATTATTTGGCTATGAAACAATTCATTTTTAAAAGGATAATTAAGTTCATTAACCGATAACGAGAAAAGCCAAAACATTATTTTTTTCGAATTTTCATTTTATATTTTAAAAGTATTAAATTGAAAACCAAACAAACTTGTTGCCACACGCTGTTTAATCGGAAAATATTCGATGAAAAACGAGATAAGTATAAATAGATTAAAACAACCTTTGTCTATTAATTAATTTTACAAAATTGGGTCTCATTAAAATTAAAATTACTTATTTATTTTTTAATAAATTTATTGTTTGTATACAATTGCTGATACTGTATAAATTACAACTAATCTATCGTATTTATCGATAAAGAAAAATTTTCAATGATATTTGCTTTAATCGGTATGGTAAAAGCGCTAAAGATAATTGAAATTTATTTAGTTTATTATTCGGACAAAATAAAACTGCGGAAGCTTATATAACGTAAACGGCTTAATTCGCTATAAAAATGGTGAAATGGAAGATATTAATTGAAATAATCCATTCATAAATTAAGAAATTTGGAATCCGTTTACAAAAACCCAAATTATTCGATTCTTAGTGTCTTACCGCCGTAGTGTACAGTACAATTAATCCGAGGTGACTATCGAACGACATGGTTGCATTTTAACATAAATATGTCGTAATTTGGCGACAGAACTTCATATATTGTCGGCCATTCACATCGAATCTTTCAGGAAATAATATTATAAAGATTCTATATTAGGCTCTATTGTTGTGAATTGTCTATTGTATTTTATAGCATAATGATGTTCTTTAACACAAGCTACAATGCTTTTTATATCTACAAATTACTCGCCGATTCTTATTATAGAAAACGTCACTTTGCGAATAATAACTACTTTCAATTTTTTTTCCTTTTCGCTTAAAATTCGAAAGTTTTGTTTCTATTGTATTTCACTTTCTCTCTTAAATGCCGATACAAACACGACACGATTTAAATTTTATAGCTTTAAAAATTCCAGGATGTCGACAAGGAAAAGACACGAGAATGTAAGAAAATACTCGTATATTCAAATGCTCGAAAGTGATTTTTCACTCGTCTACAAGTAACGATACTCTCTCTCTTTCCAAACTGTTACGAATACGAGATTTTGTTATTATTCTTATTCTAAATTTTAGATTATTAATAGTATAATAAATTTCAAAATATTACACGATGCTACAAAATGTCTAAGCTTATTTTACCATAAGGCTACTGTATATAAGATATGCTAAAACACTCGCAGATGCGTTTATACTTTAAGGATATTACTGATTTGTCAGTTCATTTTATTCAATTAATTTTAAATAATAAGCCAATACAAATATAAAGCATCGTTACATATATATTTGTGTATAACTAAGATACAGCGGTGCTACTCAAAGTTGTGATCCACGTCTCGTCGGCTGCCCGTCCGCGGGAAAGAAAATACGGCATTATTTAAGGCCACCTCTCGAAAAGAACGCAATTAGTATTGATAATGGTGTCGCGCCGTTAGAGTAGATTCGCACCTAAATGCGAATAGATGTTCGCGGAACATCCGGGCATTCAAATGCCACAATAATATGGCAAAAACGGAATATCCAAGCACGAGACATGAAAAGACACATTGCAGTTCACGGAACCGCCATATCGATGAGTTGGAGGAGCGCAGTGGGCACAATTCGATTAAATTTCTCAATCTTCTTTACTTGCAGCCAGAAGAAAAATGGCGGAAGAAGATTTGATTCTCTTACCACTTACTGTTTTCGGTGAATCGAATTTATCGTATTTTCTTTATATTTTCGACAAGGAAATTTTTTTGTATATTATTTCCTAGACGTTGACAAATTCGATTCTAGAAACTTACAGCCAGAGACGAATACGTTGGGCCCCGTCCCTCACTACCCGGTCGCCCCATCGTGGGACTGGCCGAATTCATAATGGCCTGGCTAAAAGTATTATAATTAATAACGTCTTGTGCTATAGGTGGTTATTAATTGTTTGAAAGGTAAATTAAGAACTAGATACGCATTCGGCGATAAAAGGCGATTAAATTCGAGAACTGAATATTACAATCATAAAATATGTAAGTAGAATTAATAAATAAATTCTTTCGAGATATGAAAAAAAAAAAAATAAAACGTTTCAATATCGTAAATAAGTTTAAAGCATGTCGTAAAACTGCGAGTTTTCTAAAATACGAGCCTGTTACCATCGAAAGTACCAGGCTATACACTTGAAGTTTCTCAAACAATTCGTAGAATACACAAATGACTTATTTTTTAGGTTATGACAAGGTTACGTCAAAATTTCTATGCATGTTTTTTGTTCCTGCTCGAAATAATATGGCACGGACAAAATGTCGATGTGCGGGAGTCTATGAAATAACTACACTTATTCCAATAAATTATCCGCGTAATTTCGCGGCCGATACCGTGAAATTATCATTTTTTTAAGCATGAAACGCCAAGTTCGAACTTATTTCTTTTGCAAGCAGCATTAAATGTCGACATATTCCTTTTTTTACAAAATATGCTCACTGATAATAATAATTAAGCGTGACCTACTTAAATTTTTGTGTAAAGACGAAAAATACGGTAGCCGCAAACATTTGCACGAAGACAAAATAAATAATTGTTTTTTTATTCTTTAAAAGAGGACGAGGGACAATTCGTTATCTCCGTAAGGTTTACAACAATGCAATCCCTTCGTCCGATAACATCTTTTGCCATTATTTTTCTTTGTCTACTTCCGGTGTTCATTGATATTTCGAAGTATAAAAAACGCTCGACTCGCTTCCTATGCAAAGTAGCTCGTGCTTCTGCAGAATTTCAATAACACTCGTTAATTTATTTCGTAGGAAAAAAATCCGCTTCCTGATATTTAAAACGACGTTTTCTCATGCAACGAATAAAGAACGGCAATCGACATACTTGTAAAATGTCTCCTTTTCCTGTAATTAAACGATACAAAAGGCTGTAAAATGTACGTCGTTTTCAAATTTGGTTTTTTGGTAAACGTTTTTAGTCAAATTACTTTACTTCCTGGCCGACGACCTTATATCGTCTTTTCGTTGATTTCTGATAGCCCGAGGTGACGATGACGGTTCTACTTTCGATCACTTCCTTTCTTATAAAACTGCTTCCTGAAGGCGTGATCTCCTGTGAAAAAAATAACTAAATATTGGAATTTACGTAACTGTAATGATTTCCTACACGTTTCTATTAACCTTGAATGGTCCATCCCGGGTTACTGGGTTGTTTGAGGTGGATGAAATTTCCCAGAATTTATTCGTGTTACACCTTTTCTTCTGTTAAAGGTTGTTTTCGGGTCGCGTGTGTACGCATCTTTAAGACCCGGTTTCGACGCAGTAGGTTATCGGTCGTAAAATATTATCTGGGAAATCTGCTCGCCTTTATTTTATAAAAAAAAACAAGGAACATATGATGGAGGAAATAAATGCTTTTGCAAAGACATAAAATATTCAATAATTCTTTTATAAAACTTTTGTTTAA